ACCTCATATTCTGCTCTTGTCTGGCTCTTTTCCCCCACCCAGCAATGGCTCTCCAAACCATCAGCCCGAGCCACCCCCTCCGATCGCAGATGTAAGTCACACCTCAGAGCTTATGCTTGTGGTAAGGATGGTGCACAGGTCAGAAACGGGGATTGGGGGATGGAGCCCGGGTGGGTTTTGTGGGTGGCTGTAGTTTGCTGGGGAAGAGATTGCTCTAGTTTAACAGCTTTGGGGAGTTATAACTTCTTTTTTGACTTTCAGTTGGAAAAAGAGGTGACGGGGTGAAAAATGTCCAGTACAACGATGCGGAGCTGTGATTTTGTAGCTCACCATGACCTTACTTATTGCTTTGATCTTCACTGTGCTGTCCCCTTTGCTTCCTTCCTCTTTCTCTGTCCCTCTGAAGCCTTTTAAATCAAAACCTGTCCAGGCTGCAGCCTTTATTGTGAACCTGGCTCACTAGGGTCTCAATTTAAAACCGTGATTATAAACCCTGAGCTGACCTGTGCTCATTCCTCTGTGGAAATGTTTCCATGTCACCTCTGAAGCTGTAACCCTTCTTGTCTTTAACATTGCAGAACCTTTTACCCACCAGCACTCCCCAAGAGGCCCAGCAGTGGCTGCACCGAAACCGTTTCTCCACTTTTTCTCGGCTTTTCAGAAATTTCTCAGGTATGTTACAACATCCACTCCTTCTCTGTGCTGAGTCACTCTGCCTCCTCTTGTTCCTGAGACCATCTTCATGTTAAAGCTGCAAATATAAATGTTTTTTAAAATTAATTTTAAAAAATCTCAGATTTTTTTTTTTGGTAACACAATAAAATGTGGCTCCCTGAAAGCTGTGTTCTTCGTTTCTCACCTCGTTCTTAACTGGCAAAATAATGGGGGGACTGGGGTGGTTTCTTTTCCAAGAACTCACAGCACCCTCTGGATCTTAAAAAAAGTTGAAACTAGATGATCTTTAAGGTCCCTTCCAACCCAAACCATTCTATGGTTCTATAAAAACAAGCTGAGAAATGCTGATCTGGGGGGGAAACGCTGCGTGTTGAGAAATGTTTCACGTTTCTTGTAGGCCCCCTTTGACCTTCCAATACCTGAAGGGCCTACAAGAAAGCTGGGGAAGGACTTTTCATAAGGACAACTAATGACAAAACAAGGGGAAATGGGTTTAAGCTGAAAGAGGGGAGGTTTAGATGAGATATTAGGAAGAAGTTCTTCACTGTGAGGGTGGTGAGCCAGTGTCCCAGGTTGGCCAGAGAAGCTGTGGCTGCTCCTCCCTGGAAGTGTTCTCGGCCAGGTTGGATGAGGCTTTGAGCAACCTGGTCTAGTGGAAGGTGTCCCTGCTGATGACAGGGGGGTTGGAACTGGATGAGCTTTAAGGTCCCTTCCAACCCAAAGCATTCTATGATTCTATGATTTCTTTTCCTCTCCTTCCCTGGTGATACAGCCTCTGATATCCAGGGTCACCGAGGCGCTGGATAGCCGGCTGTAAATGATGATCTGGGACACAGGGTTGCACTGAAACACGCTCTTGTAAAACCAATCTGGGGAAAAAAAATAATGATCTTGTGAGCGTCCTTCAGGGGGAAGCAGGGGGAGGTTGTTATCAGGAAGCAGAAGCAATTTGGGAATGGAGTGAGCTCTGGGAGGTGGGAGATGGGGGAGCTGGCACAGCTGCAGTGCCAACCCCCTCCCCACCGCCTCAACTCGGACACTTTGGGCTGGATTGTGTCATTTTCTCTTCTTTTGATTTTTAAAATTGTAGGTGCAGATTTACTGAAGCTGACCAGAGAAGATGTTATCCAGATCTGTGGCCCTGCAGATGGCATCAGGCTCTTCAACACATTAAAAGGCCGGTACGTTGTTTGCTTAAAAAGCTGATTGTGGGTGGTAGGTAAATGGTATTTGGTTTAGTTTGTTTGCTTGGCTCTTGCTATTAGAGAGAACAGAGCTTTATTAACCTTCCTGAATCTCTTTCAGTCCCATTTGATAACTTAACCAGCAGGGTAACTGCTCCAGAGACAATTTAGGGAAGAAAATCCATGTGGGAGAGAAGCATCAGAAATGATCTTACTCTTTGAGTATCAGAGAACAAAGCCACAAGGCAGAAAGTTCTGCTGATACAGGATTTGTTTCCTCCATCCTCTGAACAGCCTCTCAGTGGAATTCCTTTCCCAGAAAGGGAATTTCCTTTGCACCTTGCCCTGAAGAAACAGGGACTGGTGTTGAACTGACCTCCTGGCTGAGCTGGAGCTTTGCAGAAGGTGCTGCTGCAGGCAGGGACAGGGTGGGCTGTGTAGGATCATCAGATCGTTCTGGTTGGAAAAGACTTTTGAGACCATTGAGTCCAACCAAAAAATTCACATCAGTCAAATCCACCACTAACCCATGTCCCTCAGCACTATGTCTACACATCTATTAAATCCATCCAGGGATGGAGACTCCACCACTGCCCTGGGCAGCCTAAAAAAATAGGACAACAGGAGTACGTGGCTTTAAACAAGGATTTGGCAACTCATAAAGTTGGTGGAAGAATGAGAATCAGTGAGAATCAGAGAATCGTTTGGGTTGGAAAAGACCTTTAAGATCATCAAGTCAAATCATTAACCTTACATGGCTGAGTCCACCACTAACCCATGTCCCTCAGCACTGTGTCTACACGACTCTTCAATCCCTCCAGGGATGGGGACTCCACCACTGCCCTGGGCAACCCCTTCCAATGCCTCAGAACCCTTTCGGTGAAGAACTTTGTCCTCACATCCCATCTCAACTGCCCTGGCCACAACTGGAGCCCATTTCCTCTTGTCCTGTCCCTTGGTCCTTGGTTGAACAGACCCACCCCCACCTCTCTCCACCCTCCTCCAAGGGACTTGGACAGAGCCAGAAGGTCTCCCCTCAGCCTCCTTTTCTCCAGGCTCAACACCCCCAGGTCCCTCAGCCATTCCGTATCCTGGAGGGAAGGTTTGGGGAGTCATTGGTGTGGGTCTGGTGTGGGTCTGGTACGGGGCAGCAAGCGCTGTGCCGGTGGGAAGCATTCCAGGGGGTTAATGTGCTGCCTCTGATGGCTCAGGTGATAGCAGGGAAATGTGGTCGCTGTGCTGAGGAGAAGGGCACAAAGGACAGGAGATGCTGCTGGCTCTGGCACTGCAGAATGTGACTCTGCACGAGGAGTGTGTGTTTTACCAGCTGAGCTCGGTCTGAACCGTGGCTGCTGAGTCCTTGGGAGTGAACCATCCATTTTAACTGCTCAGTAGCCAGCTGGCACCATGTCCTCGTGCCAACTTCTTCGTCCCCTCCTTACAAAAACCTTTGCTGCATCAGCACAGTGGGGACAACCACAATGGTTTTGCTTTGAGATTAGTTTGTGGTTCTCCATTTTTCCTTCTGCTTGCTCACAGCACAGAGCCAATAACCGTGTCCTGGGCTGCACCCAGAGCAGCGTGGGCAGCAGGTGGAGGGAGGGGATTCTGCCCCTCTGCTCCGCTCTCCTCAGACCCCACCTGCAGTGCTGCCTCCAGTGCTGGGGCCACCAACACCACAAGGACATGGAGCTACTGGAGCCAGTGCAGAGGAGGCCACCAGGATGATGCGAGGGCTGGAGCAGCTCTGCTGTGAGGACAGGCT